GGGCTCCACGGGGAGCGTGAGAGAGATTTCTTGCCCACCCTTCAGGAGTTGGCCTGAACAACACAATACAGGCTGAATGTGCCTTATCTGGAATGCTCGAGACCAAAGGGTTTCCGATTTGGGATTCTTTTTGGATTTTGGAATATTTACATATACAAAATGAGATATTGGAGATGGGACCAAAGTATAAACACAGAATTCATTTATGCTGGTGGCGGGGTGGTTAAGGGTGCTGGACTCCCACATGGCTTACTGTGGTTCAAGTCCTGGACCTGGGGGCTCGCTGTTTCTTGCTTGCTTGCTCTGTCCTTCTCTAGTCAAATTTAAATAAATAAATAGCGTTAATTCTTAGAAAAGAAATTTATGTTTTATGTATACCTTATATATTGGATTGTCAGGAAATTCATGATGCATTTTTGCATAGAAAAACATAGAAAAAATACATCATGGCTTTCCTGACAACCTAATACATAATCTGAGGGTAGTTTTGTACAGTTGTGTGTTTTTTTTTTTTTTTAACATTTTGCCATATGGTGCATATACTCACCTGAGAAAGAGAAAGAGGGAAAGTAAGAAATCACCCCTCAGCAAGTTGGCCAGCCTGTAATCCTTTCTCCTCCATTTTCCTCTTGGGATTTTGGGTACACACGCACATGTGCTCACATGATTTTTAAGCGTCCAGGTCTCGAACCATGGTCAGCCATGTGGGAATGCAGCACCTTAACCACCATGCTGCCCTCTGGCTACTATATTTTTGTATTGCAACATTTTAACTGATGTGGAATTTTCCACTTGTAGTATTCTGTTGGCACTCAAAAAGTTTCAGATTTTGCAGTGTTCTGGCTTTCTGACTCCGGGACTAGGGATGCTCAACCTGAAAGTGTAATGTGTTTGAAGATACTTAGAAGAAGAGCATAGGATCGTCATAAAGCGTGCTGAAAACTTTTCATATCCGCCCTTCCCATCACATTCTCCCCGGTTCCTTTATGTGTTCTTCATGTGCGTCTGGAGCAGCCCACATCGCCACAGAACTGAACTGTTCCGAAACACTTCTAAGTGGAAGCAAAATGCTATGTGGGTCTCTCATGCCCAGAAATAATGGTTCACAGAGTAGTGTTGATAGTAAGTATTCAAAGAAGTAAAGGGACTTTCCTAAGGTCACACTAATTAGTAAGCCTAGTTCGAGAGCTGGGCTTTGAACTCAGAACCGACTAACTTAACCACGTAAGCTTTGTGGATCATGCAGTTCCTGGAGGTATTTGAGAGTCTCTGGGTGACCCACAGATAGGTTCCTCTTGGGGATGGGTGGAAGAGCACACAGCAGCATGTGTTTCAGTCCATGTCTCCCTGCTGTCCTTTACTTTGGATTTCAGTGAGAGGAGAGATTTTTTGTTTTGTTTTGTTTTGTTTTTTAGAGTTGTGCCATAGGGCATGTGTGCTTGCCAGAGAGACAGACAGAAAGTGAGAAGTCACCTCCCCCACGGTGGGGAATGGCCATGCTGCAATCCCTTCTCCTCCATTCTCCTCTTGGGATCTTGGGCTATGCATGCACATGTGCCCAGTGTGAGTTTTAAGCTGCCGGGTCTGGGACTTGAACTGTGGTCGACTACATGGGAGTCCCACAATGTCACCATTACACCATCTGCTTGCCCCCCCTTCCCGCCTCAAGGGACACAAATTTCACAAGCTTTTGCATCAGCTCGAGGCTACAGTGTTAGAGCGGAAGTGGAGGTGGGTAGTGAAGGAAAGGTTAGAGATCACCCTAATTGGCCTTGGAGCCATGGAGCAGCTTACCCAGAGTCCCCTTTCTCTGTACTGGCAGGAGCCAAACCCAAGGTGTCCTCTGACCGCAGCAGTTCTTGCTGCAGGAGCTTCCCATTCAGACCTCACCACTCCCCTTCACAAGTCCCCCTTCATTTCCTCCTTGTCTTCTTTCCCTCCCCTGCAACAGAAAATGACATTTCATAGCCAAGGCCATCCCAGGCAGCTCAGGGACTCTGCGTTTGGGGGAGGGGGCGAGGAGCACAGGGAACCAGATATCCTGGGTTTGAAAGCCTTTGAGGAACGAACACTGGATCAAACGATGCAGCTACCCTCTGCCCTCCCTAGGAAAGTGGAGGCAGACGCGTGAAGTGGATTGAGGTTATTTATACCAGACCTCCTGCCTGGGGCACGGAAGAGCAAGCGAGCGAGCGAGCTAACAAACACCAGTAGGTCATGAGAATGTCGCTTATTTAGATTTCAAATGCCTGCCATTCCACACCGCACGCAGGACCAGTTGGCTGCCCTGTGGTCAGAGCCCGGGCCTCCTCTGGTGAGTCGCCCTGAGACAGACGAGTCACTGGGTTCTTTCAAGTGCTGGGATGTAGGCAGCGCGAGCTCTTTTAGAAACTGTGTGGACACTTTGAACTGTGCTCTCGCAAGCCAGTGCCAGAATGGTATTTGCAGGGCCTGGTAAACTGGGGAGAAGGTTTTTGATGTCTTTATGAAAGGAGCACCTGGCTCTGAAATCAGCACGCGTGGTACAGCAGCGGCAGATCTCGCCTGTCCTGGGGTGCCAGGCCTCACCCGAACCGCTGACCGGTCGGCCCCGGCCAGGTGTTGCATTGTGCTCATGGTGGGCGTGGGAAGGGGAAGGTGGGAAGAGCCCGCAGTGTTGCGAAACCCTCATTGGAAGAGTTTACAGACGTCTCTCCCGTGTTTTCTTCCTGCTAATCTCCTTTCTGAGTGTAAGACTTGTAACACCTGAGGATATGCTGTGCAAACCCGCGGTAAGCCAGGGGTCAGGTGGTCAGCCCTGTCCTTTCTCTTGTCCTTTCCCTGGAACTTGAGGTCCCTGTGCTCCTGCTGCCCGGCCGCTGCCCCTGTGGACGGTCACTGGAGCACTTTGTTTATAACCTTAGCTGAGCAGGGAGTGTCCTAAAGCAAGGCTCAGCCCGGAGGCGCCGGCCATGTGACCCAAGTTTCCACTGGCAGACAGCTGCCGGATGTATGGGGCAGGGCCGGTCTGAGTAGTGGCAAGTACAATATGTGGTTTTGGTTTCTTTGCTGAGTAGGGTTTTTTCCTTCCTCAGCTCTGAGCTTCTTGAGGACGGAGGCAATGTCTTATTCATTTCCATATCCCTGTACCCAACACGGAGCTTGGCACAAAGATGGCATCTAATAAATGAATGTATTGAACAAAGCAATGCTGTTTTAAAAAAAAGGGAGGGACCAGCAGTTGGCATAATGACTTTGTCACTGGACTCCCACATAGTCAACCGTGGTTCAAGTCCCGGACCTGGTGGCTTAAACTCACGCCTGGCACGTGTGCGTGCATGCCCATAATCTTGAGAGGAGAATGGAGGAGAAGGGATTGTGACATGGCCATCCTCCCAGGGGGTGATTTCTCGCTTTCTGTCTGTTTCTTTCTGTCTTTCTGGCGAGAGCACGTGCCCTATAGCAAAACCTCTGCAAAAAAAAAATAAAAAGAGTAAAACAAGGTTGATGTCTTGACGTCTTGTAAGTTTTCTCACATGCCAGAAGAATGGTATTTGCAGGGCCTGGTAAACTGGGGAGAAGGTTTTTGATGTCTTTATGAAAGGAGCATTTGGCTCTGAAATCTGCTTCCAGGTCCAGAACTCGAACCACAGTCAGCCCTGTGGGAGTCTAGTGCCTTAACCATCATACCACCTGCTGGCCCCATGAAATATATCTATTAAAAAAAAAATTGGAGGGGCCAGCAGGCGGTATGAGGGTTAAGGCGCTGGACTCCCACAGAGCTGACTGCGATTCAAGTCTTAGACTCGGCAGCTTGCTTTCTCACTTTCTCTCCCTGGTGAGTGCATGTGCCCTGTAACAAATTTAAAAAATAATAATAATGATGTATACATTTCATTGTCTTTTTTCTTTTTATCAAAAGAAAAGATATTTCTGATGTACTAAACAAACCTTTGGAGGTAAATTAGTAGTATGACTAATTTAGTCATTGCTGTCAGGCAAGTAAAAAATAAATGATACTAAATAAAATTAAATAAATAATTCTTTTTTTTTTTTTTAATGTTTTTTCCTCCATCCCTGTCTACAAGGGCTGTGAATAGAATTTGGCAAACTGCTAAATGGTGACTCAGTGGTGCCCTTGAGGTAGCCATCCTCGACAAAGGATGGTGTGAATCCTGGATCCAGTCTGGTACTTAAGAGATCATTCAGTGGGGCCAGCAGGTGGCACGGTGGTTAAAGGCGCTGGACTCCCACTTGGCCAACTGCGGTTCGGGTCCTGAATGTTGTGGCTTGCTTTCTTGCTTTCTCTCTCTCTCTCTGTTCAAACTGGAAAATAATAACAATTAATTAATTAAATTAAACTAAATAATTCTTTTAAAAAATAAATAAGATCATTCAGTAAGCAAAAATGATCTTGTAAATTGAAATTTGGGCCAGGTCCCCTGAGCAGATCATGGCTTTTCTGACGAATGAAGGGTTTCAGTAGCAGATGTTTTTAGCTCTCTTTTGAACTGCACTGTAAATGAACCGTGGAGATTGTGTGCTCTGAAGGAAGAATGGAAGGGCCGACTAGGTGGTAATCCTAGAATATGTACTGCATTAATCATTCTGGGAAGTTTCAGAGAAAAGCCAGTTTTATTTGAAACATACTGCTAATTACAGGAGAGTCACCTTCCTCCTGGCTGAGTTTAACCCTGGGACACGAATTGCTTCTGCTCCAATGCCAAGAACACAAGGCACCCCTCTCCTGCCCTGCCCTGCCCTGCCCTGCCCCACCCTGTCTGAGAAGTTCCCTCTTTCCCAGCTGACTCTGTGAATCTCCTTCCCTCTTTAATAAACCATGTTTTCTTTTCTAAACTCTGCTGTTGCGTGGTTCTTTCAAACATTTTTTTCTTAATGGGATAAATACTGGAACAAACCATACTGGACCTGGATGGGCAGACAACCAGGAGGAGGGGATGAGAAGAAAAGCGGTGTTTAAAAGCCGTACGTTAATATGCTGAAACTTTCTGGTTTTTTAGGACAAGGAGGCCTGTGTGGGTACGAACAATCAAAGCTACATCTGTGACACAGGACACTGCTGTGGACAGTCCCAGTGCTGCAACTACTACTATGAACTCTGGTGTAAGTCCTCACTGCCGGCTCCCACGGCCCCGGGGCCCCCGGTGCGATCAGACTTGGGCTTTGGAAGGCGCATCCTGGTGGGGGTGCAGGCTGTGGGGCCCGCTCTGATCAGGGGCTGCTCATTGGGGAACTGGTCTGCTCGGTCCTTTTCTCACTTCTCCTGGGGACAGTGCTGGTGAGTAGAATCCGTTTATGGGTTCCAGGTTTCTTTGTAGTGGAGGAAGTCCTGGTGTTCTTCGCATCCCATGGGCTGAATTCTGGGGAGTATGGTCTGAGCCTCTTAAGAGGCAATGGTAGGCAGCAGGTGGCGTGGTGGTTAAGGCACTGGACTCCTATGTGGCCAGCTGCGGTTCAAGTCCCAGACCTGGTGGCTTGCTTTCTCACTTTCCCTCTCTCTCTGGTGAGCGCTCATGCTCTGTAGCAAATTTTAAAAAATAATAATGATGATAAATAAAATTAAATAAGTAGTTGTTTTCGGTTTTGTTTTTTAAAAAAGAGAGGTGATGGTGCCCTTTTTGCTGCAGAAGCTCCTCCTTGGATTTCTCCTTGATGCCCTCTCCCTTATGGCTGAGCCGCTGACAGCCGCTGAGATCCTTCCAGAACCCAGGCTCTCCTTTTTCCAGCCAAGCAGTTTGAATGTCAGGCTGACTCCTAGAGGGCCCAAATGCCACTTTCTTATAGGCTAAAGAGGCTTCCAGAATTCCCCATGGAGCCTCACAGAGCCACCTGTTCCTGAGATCACTCTCAAAGGGATTCTTTACCTGCTGTGGAGTCCTCCTGGAGAGGGGGTCACAGGGTTTGGCTTCTTTCTTTTGTTTGGTCCCCAGTTCTCAAACCGAAGCGTCTGGAGGCTTCTCTACCATGTCTCACCGTCCACCAAATGCCATGTGAAGGCTGCTCGACTTGGCACTGGTCTGGTTGATGCCAGGACCACTTGCACCTCCAGGGTTGCCCAGGGACTGACCCAGGGTGCTTCACCTAATGCTCTTCATACTCTGATCTTCTCGGGACTCACAAGGTGGTGTGGGATGCTGGACAAGAGCAGGAGGGTGGTGGCGTCCTCAGGGAGAGAAGCTTCAGGGCGGCCAACACGCGTTATTCTCACCACTGTCTCCCGAGAGAGGAAACTGTAACCTGTTCCCAATAAGCCTAAGCCCCAATCACTGCCTCCATTTGGAAAGGAACCCACTGAGGGCTTGTTTGTCCAACCCGTAGTTGTTACTCTCACGGTCTCCCTGCCCATTTCCCTTCCTCCTCTCCCCACTCCCCGATCCGTGTATGGTAAGACAGCAGCCAGAGCAACTCTTACTGGTGGAAGGGAAATCACTCCTGGCTGGAACGTCTGTCCCTGTGGGGTGCAGCTCGTATCTTACACCCAGCAGGAGCGGTTCCTCCAAAAGGACCCCTGGGTTTTCCCTTTCAAAGATGGAGGACTGGCTCGTCTGCCTTTCAGAGGAATTCCAGGGCCAGTCCAGTGCAGGAGGGGACAGGACTCAAGTCCCCCTCAGACTTCCACACACATAGGCAGCAGTGAAGGACACAGAATCCTTGCTGTTACTTTAGGTGAGGCTGAGCTGAGAAACTCACTGAAGAATTCAACATGCCAAGCAGGTGACCAACTGTGCTTAAATGTTTTAAAATGCAGATAACCACAGGCTTTAAGTTCTCCCTCCCACCCCTCATTAAAACAGAAGTCGAAGCAGGGCTGCCCCAAAGCCACAGAGCTGCCGTTTGCTTTCCTGGGCCCGGCCCAGGCAGCATGGTGGCAGAAAGGAGAGGAGTTGGTGATGGCCCCGTCTCTTATTGGCAGAACCTCCTGGGCCATTGATGAAGCAGACTCAGTAGCCGCCAGAATTAGGTCACCAAAGCCAGGGGTGGGTTGGGAGGGAGAGGAGACCCGGGTGGCAGGGAGGTAGCCTGGGCAGCAGGTTCTTCAGCCCAAGGCTTAAAGAAAGAGAGACGAAGAGCTCCATGAGTGGCCAGCTCTCCCTCCAGCTGTGGTCAGCTGAGAAGAGCGGGAGGCCAGACTCCCTGTTACACCTGTTAGCACATGCTTTACAGGTTCTGGCGGGATGGGGACTTACACAAGCACAACGCTCCTCTCACCTGTGGCCAGAAATGACTTATTGGGCAGGAGATGCCCAAAGTGCATGCTGTCCTTCCCAGGAATTTCTTGGTTTTCCTCTTTACTAGGGTTGGGCCTGTGCCTGGTGTGTATAGGAGGGAGGCTGAGTGTTGGCATGAGCCCCTGAAGTTCTCAAAGCTGATCTTTTTGTCACATGAAATGCTGTTCCCTCTAAACGCCTTTCAACTTTTTCTGAAATGTGAAAGTTAAGGGCTTTGGGTTAGTTTCCCATCCCGTTTTCTCAACCAGGAAATCTTTGGCAGATTTTTTGCCAGACAAGGTACCTCTTTTATTTTTTTTTCCAGAAATTATTTTATTTATTATTTTTATTTTCCAGTTTGATCAGAGAGACAGCCCCCAGACAAAGTACCTCTTTAACTGTAGTGGCCTACGGGAAAGACCTCGGGGTGGGGTGGGGATGCCCTTTTACCTCTACTACACTGGAGTTTTCTGGACACTGATAGCGTCTCACCCCGCCTTCTTTCTCTTTCTCGGTCTCTCACTGTTACACATACACACATGAACACACGTCACCCAGATACATCAGCACACACAACAACCTTTCCCCGTGTCCTTTTAGTCTGTTGTAACCTAACTCAATTACCGGGCCTTCACGACATGGGAACGGACGAATGTTTTAATGATGCACAGGCTGAGGCTATAAGGACCTCGTCGTCATCCTTATTATTATCTCCACGCGTTTTGTTTGCTTGTTTTTGCTTGTGTTGTAGGGCCCATGCACTTGCCTGAGAGAGAAGGGGGAAAGTGAGAAATCAACCCCCAGGAAGAATAGCCTTGCTATAATCCCTTCTACACACACACACACACACGCTCACTCATGATTTTCAGTCCATCAGGTCCGGGATTTGAGCTGTGCAATTCGCCATGTGGGATCCAACACCTTAGCCTCTATGCCACCTGCTGGCCCTATCTATGCATTTTTATAGCACTTGTACTTTAAATAATTACTCTTTTACTCATCCAGGAAACCCGCATTCCCATGGTCTTGAACTTTGGCGAGTGTCAGAAATTGAAAATACAGATTTCTGGGTTCTACTTTCAGAGTTTTTGCATCCTAGCTGATGCTATGACCTCTTCTGCACTAGAAACCTTGAGGGGAGGGGCCAGCAGTTAGCGTAATGGCTATGTCGCTGGACTCCCACATGATCGACTGCGGTTCGCATCCCAAACCCGGTGGCTTAAAACTCACGCCGGGCACGTGTGCGTGTGTGCCCAAGATCCCAAGAGGAGAACAGAGGAGAAGGGATTGCGGCGTGACCATCCCCCCTGGGGGGTGATTTCTCGCTTTCTATGTGCCTTTCTGGCAAGTGCACACGCCCTGTAGCAAAAAACCTCTTCAAAAAAAGAAAAGAAATCTTCAAGGGGGACATAACTCTTGCCATCAAGAAGGTAATCTAGGGGCTGGCAGGTGGCATGGTGTTAAGGCGCTGGACTCCCACCCACATGACTGATCATGGTTTGAATCCTGGACCTGGCGGCTTGCTTTCTCACTTTCCCTCTCTCTTTTTCTCTCTTTCTCGCTGGTAAAGTTAAAAAATAATAATGAATAAAATTAATTATTAAAAAAAGAAAGAAGGTAATCTAGGGCCAGGAGGTGGGGATTAAGGGAGCTGGATCCCCCATGACTGATTGTGCAGTTTGAGTCCTGGACCCAGCTGCTTGAAAAACATGTCAGGCACTTGAATGTGCATGCACAAAATCCTGAAAGGAGAATGGAGGAGAGATTGCAGCGAGGCCGTCCCTCCCTTGGGGGTGGGTGTGTGGTGATCTCTCTCTCTCTGTCTCTCTGGCAAGCATACCTGCTCTATAGCAAACTTTATAAAAAAAGTAATCTAGCAGAGGCCAAAGATAGGACTGGATGTCCAGCCAGTAACTCAAAGTAGAGGTGGACTGTCTATGTAAGAGCTTCTGTGGTGTTTAGGTGGAGAATTTGCTTTGACTTGACAGGATTCAGGGCAGACTGCATAAAGGAGGGCATTTGGGAACCAGCAGTTAGCATAATGGCTATGTTGCTGGATTCCCATGTAGCTGACCTCGGTTCGTGTCCCGGACCCGGTGGCTTAGAACTCACGCCGGGTGTGTGTGAGTGCGTGCCCAAGATCCTGAGAGGAGAAGGGATTGCGGCGTGACCATCCCCCCTGGGGGGTGATTTCTCGCTTTCTGTCTCTATGTCTCTCTCTGTCTGTCTGGTGAGTGCACGTGCCCTATAGCAAAAACCTCTTAAAAAAAAAAAAAAAAGATGGCATTTGAAGTGGACCTTGGTAAGATTTATACTTTTGGAGACTGGTAGGACTTCCTAGGCAGAGGAATATCAGACATTAAGAGCGAGAAAGAACATGGGACCAGCAAATGGCATAATGGTTACATCACTGGACTCCCACATAGTAAACTGTGGTTCAAATCCCAGACTGGGTGGCTTAAACTCACACTGGGCACTTGTGCGTGCATGCCTAAATCCCAAGAGAATGGAGGAGAAGGGATTGCAGCGTGGCCATCCCCCCGGGGGATGATTTCTTGCTTTCTGTCTGTCTCTCTTTCTGTCTTCCTGGAAGGCGCACACCCTATAGCAAAAACCTCTCTTAAAAAAAAAAAAAAAAAAAAAAAAAGATTGAGAAAGAACAGAGATCGCCGCTTGTTGATACTTCCCCTGCGGGCATGGGTTTTGCCTGGGAGGGAATGGGAGATGAGGGTACTATGTAACTAGAACTCTCCTGATTCAGTCTTCCTCTACATCATTGCCCTTCACCCTGGAACCAGCCCTGCCAGGTACACACATCATCCACACGTCTTGGGGTGAGGGCACAAGGAATCGCTTGGGTGGTGGCAGGAACTGCTTTGGCAGTGGCAGCCGATGAGTGGTAGAGTTGGCCTAACTCCAAAACCGTCTCCTTCCAGGACTCCAGTCACCAGGCTGGAAAGTTCCCAGGTCCTGGAGGGTCTCCGATGCCAGGTTAAGAACTTTCTGTGTGCATGCTTAATTTCTACCTGAGTGGATAGGCTCATGGAACAGATAAAGCAAAGGAGAAAACCCATATGAAGGACGTCCAGGAATGAGCTTGAGGCCAAAAAGCCTGGAGCCAAATCTTCGATGCTCATTGAGGGTTCTTACTGTTCACCCAGCAGCATTTTCCAGGGAGAGGTCAAAGAGGGGAATTCTGCCCCCATAGGCTCGGGGAGTCTCACTCAGGCATCAGTTTTCCATGGGTTAGACCTTAGTGGGGAGAGGGAAGTGTTTTTGAACAATGGAATTTTCCTGAGGGGACAAGAAAAAAACTAATAAATAATCTAGTCATGTTTGTTTTCCACTTGCTAGTTTTTTTGTTTTTTGTTTTTTTTTCCTTTTTAGTTTGTTTTAAGAAATGCTCTTTGTTGATCTTCTCTTAAGGAAGGCCCATAACATTGTTTCCCAGAGGACCCATGAGGAGTTATGGGGAGTTGGGACCTTCTTCTTAGCCCTGATTGGACCCCAGCTCCCTCTAGCCCGGGCCTCTGGACAGATTGATCAGCAGCAGGTGGGCCAGTACTGGCTGACACAGCATCCTGCTCATGGCAGGGGCTCAGTTCATAGAAGGTGATCGATTTTCCAGTGAATTTCACCAAGAACAGAACCTAGAAGGAGACCCTGGACTTTATGAATTTCTTTATGGAGTACTTTTTTGGGGGATTAAAGAGAAGTTCAAAGAAAACCCTTCCCATCTGTGATTGTACCTTTAACAGTGACCACAACTGCAATAAGCTAGAGACCTTACCATGCATCAGACATGGTTCTGAGTAGTCTACATGGTTAACTCAGTCCCCAAAAGCCAAGTTATTAGTGGCCAAATAAGTTAAAGACCTTTATTCTCCTGATTGTATAGATGAAGGAGGGAACAGCACAATGACCATAGTCACAAAGCTAGGAAATTATTTCATGAGCTGGGATTTGAACCCAGACTGTCCGCCTCCTCTCTTCTTTGTCAGCAGTCAGGCTTGTAGGACTGTTGGCCAGCCTTTCTAAAGAAGTTACCAGTCTCGGGGACCAGCAAATGACGTAATGGTTACGTCTCTGGATTCCCACAGTTAACCATGGATCGAGTCCCATACCTGGCAGCCCAGCTCCTGCTGGGCACATGTGCATGCGTGCCCAAGATCTCGAGAAGAGAATGGAAGAAAAGGGATTGCAGTGTGGCCATCCCCCCCTGGGGGATAATTTTTCCCTTTCTGTCTCTCTGTCCAGTGAGCACACGCACTCTATAACAAAATCTCTCTTAAAAAAAAAAAACAAACAGTCTCCAAAGTCTTCGTTTCCCGAATTCAGGCCTTTTCCACAGTGATAGGAAGAGCTGGGAGCTCCAAAGGAGCAGGGACGTTGCCCGCCGTCCTGTGGCGTAGGAAGAGTGCTGACTTATAGTGTGCTTTGGCTTCCTGTTGGGGAATTTCCTGCCATTTGAGCAGTGGTGTTTTCCCAAGTTCGCCGTGAACCGGGGGGCACGTGACTCAGTTCCTACCTTGGATGGTAATTGTTTTTAAAAACATGTTTTTTGTTTTGCTTAGCATGACAAACCTCTGCACAGTGTGTCCACAACTTTCAAAGTTGTCATTGAGGGATAGTTGGTAGGTGTGTGTTTGGCAGGGCGGGAGGAGGGTCGTATTTCTGTATTTTTCTTGCATGTGTTTTTTATTAGGATGGCCTTTTTTTAAAACATTTATTTCTTGTTTTGGAAATCTAGCTAAAATATGAAGATTTTGGTGAACCCCATAGGGACTTGTCTCAATATTCCCCCTTGTAAGGTTGATGGGATATGACTTTGACTAGAATGGCTCCCCAGAGAACCAGATTTATGAGGGCCAGATCAGAACATCTCCTGCCTCACTTCCCATCACGTGACACTGGCTTATTAAGGGTCTTTTCTGTACAAAGACCAACCCCTCATCATGCCTCTAGGCCCGTTGTATTCCTGAATTAGTTTTCTGACAGTTTATTTCACACAAATAATTCCTTGTGGTCTTATGTTAGAAATTAATCAATCCAGGGCTGGCAGATGGCATAATGGTTACATCACTGGAATCCCACACACTGACCGTGGTTTGAGTCCCAGACCCGGTAGCTTGAAACTCAGGCCAGGCACATGTGCAAGCGTGCCCAATCCCCAAGAAGGGATTGTGGTGTGGCCATCTCCCCTGGGGAGTGATTTCTCACTTTCCGTCTCATTGTCTGTGTCTCTCCTGTGAGCACATGTGCCCTAAGGCATAATGAAAACTCATAAGGAAAAAAAAAAAGAAATTAAGCAATCAGAACTCAGTTTGAGACTAATATAGCTTCACACAGCTGGTACATGCTAGGGATAATTTTTTTTTACCCATAATATTAAATGAGAACAGGCTGACAGGGGCCAGCGGGTGGTGTGGTGGTTAAAGCACTGGACACCCATATGACCGACTGTGGTTTGAGTCCCAGACTTAACAGCTTAAAAATCATGCTAGGCACATGTGTATGCGTGCCCAAAATCCCAAGAGGAGACTGGAGGAGAAGGGACAGCATGATGGCCATTCCCCTGAGAGGTTATTTCTCACTTTCCCTCCCTCTATCTCTGGCCAGTGAACATGTGCCCCCTATGGCAAAAACCTTTAAAAAAATGACAAACAGGCTGGTGAAATTTCAAGAAGCATGTGAGCTTTCTGGTGCCGTGTTAGATACGATGAAGGTAACTTTGCCAAAAGGATCTCTTCTGATTGTCTTATTTCTTCCCCCAGTGTCTCTCTGCACTGCCTAATTTCTCCTTTAAAAAAATCAATCAATCAATAAAGCTGGGCTGGCCATGATGGCACGAGTAGAAGTTGTCGCTCTGTGGTGATTGAGACTGCATGGGAGGTCCAGATTTAATTCCTAGTCCTACCAAAAAATAGGTCCAGGGTGGTGGCATGCGCCTCTGGTCGTAGCTAGCTGGGAGGCTAGCATCATGGCTCTAGTGCTCCAGGGGCAAGCTTGAGTAACAGAATTGAGTCACAATCAATGTGTTAAGACCCTTTCAAAAATACCTATCTCGGGGCCAGCAGGTAGTACGGTAGTTAAGGCCCTAGATTCCCACATGGCCACCGCATTTAGAGTCCCAGACCTGGCCACTTGAAAATCATGCAAGGCATGTGTACGTGCCCCAAGTCCCAAGAGGAAAATGGAAGAGAAGGGATTGTGGCATGGCCATCCCCCCTGGGGGTGGTGGTTTTTCATTTTCCTTCTCCCTTTCTCTCTGTCTCTAGTGAGCACACTCGCCCTATGGCAAAAACATTTTTTTAAAAAAATTCTCTTTTCCTCTTTTGTTTTTGTGTTTTTTTGAGACAAGGTATATTGAAAAAGCCCTCTTTTCCTATTTTCCTTTTTAGTTCAGTGGATCTCAGCATTTTTCTAGATTCCTTGTGAACACTTCCAATTCTCTCCCCCAAAAGAAACTTACAGACACACTGTAGCAGTCAGGCAAGGCTGCGTTATGCTGCTGGGACAAACAAGTCTAAAGTCCTAGTGATGAGGAGCCAGGTGGTTGCATAGTGTTAACACAAGTGGACCCACCTGGGGGTAGGTCCTGGGTTCATAGCCTAGGACCCCTGTCCCCAGTCACACCGAGCAGGGGTGTACATGCCCACAATCTAGACTGGCTGAGAATGAGGGTGGATTGTGGCATAAAGACCCTGTTGGAGGTGTTTGTGTGTATTTCTCTCTCCCATGAAAGAAATCCATTTTTAAAACTTAAAAAAAAGAAAAGGCTATGGCTGGTTATGGCCACAGGTTCTCCAACTGCATGCAAGAGCGACCTGGAGAGACTCTAACAGCCCAGGCCACACAGCACCTGCAGCTGCCACTCACCTTTCCTGTAGCGTCCGTGGCCCGAGTCCAGGTGTGCCTAGGGACATGGGTGGCTCTTGGCTGGGAGCTTTCACACGAGGCTTTTGTTCTGCAGATGGCCCAGCTCCCGGCAGGTCTGGTGCAGAGGCGTCAAGGATCAGGCTTGCTCCTGGAGCACTGGAGACTAAGCCCGTTCTGTGTGAGCCAGGTCTGCAGAGTTGGGAGAGACAGGAAGGGGCAACCAAAGGAAAAGCAGCATTTCTGGTGGAAACGGCAAATATCATATCTATAAGTGGCCAATAAAGACTCTGGAAGTGTCAAAAAAAAAAAAAATACTGCTTGAGCACTTAAAATCCTAGTGGCCTGCAATAACAGGTTTACTAGTGTCTCGTGCTGTGTTCACTGAAGGTTGGATGGGAGCGTCATTCCTCCAGCATCCTCTGGGACCCAGATTGACCCTGAAGTACCACCCAGAATGTTGCCAGTTGCCATGACGGAGAGAAGTCTAATGAATGGTTTCACACCAGCGAGAAAGGGTCTGGCCTCTGAATGATAGGTGTCTTTTCCAGTTCCAATGTAATAGTTAAAGTAAATCCCAAAGCCTCACCCAGTCGTTAGGGGGCCTAGAAGTTCAAGCCTACATATATGTCCAAAAGGGGGAGAGCCAGAAATATTTGGTAAACATGAAGATCAATGCATGAGAGTATGTTTTTCTTATTAAGAATATGTGCAGGGAACTGGATTGTAACACAAAACTCTGTGAGGGTGACCCACGTGGGAAGGGTCCAGGTTCATGTCCAGGAGATCCCCCTGAACATGCTAGGTGCATGTGTGCCCATGATTTGGAGCTGACTGACACCAGGGGGTCAATAATGGCATGGGGTTGGGGTTGCTTGTCTGTCTGCCTGTCTCTCTCTCTCTCTCTTTGTGTCTCTCTTGCTTGTGTAAGAAAGAAAACTTTTTTAAAAAGGTATTTAAAAAAAAATTTTATATATATATATTTTTGCTATAGGGCGTGTGCACTCGCCAGACAGACAGAGACAGAGAGATAGAAAGCGAGAAATCACCCCCCAGGGGGGATGGCCACGCTGCAATCCCTTCTCCTCCATTCTTCTCTCGGGATCTTGGGCATGCCCGCACAAGTACCAGGCATGAGTTTTAAGCCACCGGGTCCGGGACGCGAACCGCGGTCGACTATGTGGGAGTCCAGCAACATAGCCATTACACTAACTGCTGGCCCCATATTTTGGTGCAACTTTTTAAAATCCATGCATAGTTTTTTCTTCTCTCCTCTCCATCACCCTCTCCTCCCCTAGGGATTTTTGGGCATACGCACACACACATACCTGGCATGTTTCTCAAGTTGCCAGGTCAGGGACTCAAACCAAAGTTGGCCATGTGGGGTCTAGCTGCGTTAACCACCACACCACCAGACTGGCCTCAGTGTTTTCATTTTATGGATATTTCCATGAACTTTTTGAAGTATTAGAGGCTGGTTTACTGAGAAAAGGACTGGGGGAGGAGCTAAAATAATAGCTGCTGATTAGCTAAGGGGAGAATGTACTTTTTTTAAAAAAGGAATTATTCATTTTTTATTTATTCATTCATTTAATTTGACCAGAGAGAGAAGGCGAAACAAGCCTGGTGACTTGAACTGGGGTTGACCATGTGGGAGTGTTCAGCACCTTAACCACCATACTGCTGGCCCCGAGGGAGAATGTACTTTTAAAAAGATAAAGGAGCACAGAAACATATAGAGATTATGCTGGGAACTAGGAGAGTAATGGGTAATACAAACCGCAGTTTTCCCAGAATCATTTAGTCTTGACTCTGAAATACACGCGGAGCCAGGCTCTTAAGCAGAACGCTCCGCTCTCCCTCCCTCCCGTCCAGGCAAGCCCCCGGAGTAGATGGAGAACTCCACCAGGGAGCCAGTTCATTCTCGTAGCTCTTTTCTGGCTTCTGCCATTCACCAGGGGATCCTCAAAGAAGTTCTGGTCCTAAGTCAGCCACCACTCAGCGGAAAGCAATGTTAAGCTCAGCAGGTTTCGGTAGTGAGTCTGGGGAGGAACGAAAGAGAGATTCTGTGTTCTCTGGTTAGGATAGGAGTTTTCCTCTCTGCTGATGGGGGAAGAGGGGATGTCCTCTGCCCGTTCTCCCATTACAAGGCCTCAGCACCTATGCTTGGGTGCACACTGGCTGGCTTCTGCTGTGTGCAGTTAGGTGTCACGGAATGGTGTTGCCACTTTGCCGGGGCTGGGAGGTCATGTTTCCCACCCAGCTCACTTGATAGAAGACAGTCGTGGGGAGATTCAGAGGTACGTCCAGGGGGACAGAGATAAAGCTGTGGGCCTGAGCCCAGGCCCCGAGTGTCGGTTGGACCTTTTGGAATACTGTGTGTGTGCAGCAGGGGTGACGATCGACGACCGGGATGTATTCATGTATGAGTCTATTAGGGAGAGAGGGAGGCTTTTTTTTTTTTTTTTTTACTTTTTAAAACAACGTTAACAAAGGGAACCAGCAGTTAGCGTAATGGCTATGTTGCTGGACTCCCACATAGTCGACCGCGGTTCGCATCCCGGACCTGGTGGCTTAAAACTCACGCCAGGTGCGTGTGCGTGCGTGCCCAAGATCCCGAGAGGAGAATGGAGGAGAAGGGATTGTGGCGTGATCATCCTCCCTGGGGGGTGATTTCTCGCTTTCTGTCTCTCTATCTCTCTCTGTCTGGCGAGCGCATGCGCCCTATAGTGAAAACCTCTCAAAAACAAAACAAAACAAAACAATGTTAACATGATTTAACTCATTCTGAGAAGAGATGCGTGTGGAAGTACTATAATATTTTTATTTTTTAAATTTATTTTAGTTTACTTATGTGTTTATTTAGTCAATTTCTACCATAGGGTATGTGTGCTTGCCAGAGAGAAACAGAGAGAGGGAAAGTGAAAAATCACACCCCCCCAGGGGGGGATGGCCACGCTGCAGTCCCTTTTCCTCCATTCTCCTCTTGGGACCTGGGGCGTGCACACACATGGGTCAGCGTGGTTTTTCAAGCTGCCAGGTCTAGGACTCGAACCTTGCGGTTGGCCATGTGGGAACCAGCCACATTAACCTCCACGCTACCTGCTGGCCCAATACTTGAACATTTTTAAAACACAAATTTGTCATTATAAAGCAGATAATAAATAGTATATGTAAGATTTGTAATGGAAAAAAATGGAAGTTCTTCAGGAATAGAGGACAAATGAGGGGCTGGGGTGGTTAAGGGTACTGGACTCTCACATGGCCAACTGCAGTTTGAGTCCCAGACCTGGCAGCTTGCTTTCTCACTTCCTCTTTCTCTTGCTCTGTTCCTCTTTGGTCAAATTATAAATAAATAAATAAATAAAGTTAAATAAAATAATTATTTAAAAATAATTCTTTAATAACAGCTCACCCTAAATTTATTCCTCAGATAATAACAACTCACCCTAAATTTATTCCTCAGATAAATTTTTTTAAGTTTTTAAAATTTCTGATAGATTATTTTACTGCCAGGGAGCATGTGTGCTCACTAGAAAGAAAGCACCCCTTCATGGAGTGTGGTCACCCCCCACAATTCCTTCTCCAACTTTTCTCCATCCTGTCAGGATTTAGGGCATCCGTGCACATGCATCTAGTGTTTTTCAGGACACCAAGGCAGTGATTCAAACCATGGTCAGCCATAAGGGATCCAGCTTTTTATGCATAGTGCTTGACTACTGGAGTTGGTCCTATTTATCTTAATTCTCTAATGAGAGAGGGAGAAAGGAAGAGAGAGACAGGCATCCTCAACAGTCTCATGGCACTGAGACCTCCTCCCCCCAGCCTTCAGCCAGCCAGGGTGTGAGGTGTGGATGCCGGCGTGTCTCAGGTTGGCTCAGATGTGAGTCTGGTGTCGTCCTGGTGACTTCTGGCACCGCAGAACACACTCCTCCACATGCCACCGTAACTAGGCCAGATATTTTTCTTTTTTTGGAGAGGTTTTTGCTATAGGGTGCGTGCGCTCACCAGAAAGACAGAGAGAGACAGACAGAAAGTGAGAAATCACCCCACAGGGGGGATGGCCATGCCACAATCCCTTTGCCTTCATTCTCCTCTCAGGATCTTGGGCATGCACGCACACGTGCCCAGCGTGAGTTTAAGCCACCGGGTCTGGGACTCGAACCATGGTCGGCTACATGAGAGTTCAGTGACATAGCCATTACACTAACTGCTGGTCCCTAGGCCAGATTTTTTTTTTTAAATAAAATTATCTTATTTAACTTTATTTATTTATTTTAATTTGACCAGAGAGGGACAGAGAGAGAGAGAGAGAGAAAGAGGGAACGCGCGACAGCCAGGTCTGGGACTTGAACTGTGGTTGCCCATGTGGGAGTCCAGTCCAGTGCCCTTAACCACCACACCACCTGCCAGCCCCAGCCAATGTTTTTTTTTTTGGAGAGATTTTTTTGGCTATTGGGCGCACGTGCTTGTCAAAAAGATAGAGAGAGACAGAAAGCAAGAAATCACCCCTGGGGGAATGGCCACGCTGCAGTCCCTTCTCCATTCTCCTCTCAGGATCTTGGGCATGCACGCACATACACCCGGCATGAGTAAACCACTGGGTCTGGGACTCAAAACGCGGTTAGCAACATGGGAGTCCAGTGACATAGCCATTAGGCCAATTGCTAGTCCCCAGATTTTTTTTTTTTGGAGAGGTTTTATTGCTATAGGGCGCGTGCACTTGCCAGACAGACAGAGAGAGACATAGAGACAGAAAGCGAGAAATCACCCCCCAGGGGGGATGATCACGCCGCAATCCCTTCTCCTCCATTCTCCTCTTGGGATCTTGGACACGCACGCACATGCGCCCGGTGTGAGTTTTAAGCCACTGGGTCTGGGACGCGAACCGCAGTCAACTACGTGGGAGTCCAGCGACATAGCCATTATGCTAACTGCTGGTTCCCAACTAGTCCCCAGATTTTTTTTTAAAGAATTATTTTACTGGGGCCGGCAGGTGGCATGGTGGTTAAGGGCTATGGACTCCCACATGGCCGACTGGTTCAAGCCCCAGACCTGGCAGCTTGCTTTCTCACTTTCTCTTTTTCTTGCTCTGTTCCTCTCTGGTCAAATGAAAATAAGCAAGTAAATAAATAAATAAAGTAATTATATTATTGTTCATTTCTTTTTTTTTTTTAAGAATTATTTTATTTAACTTTATTTATTTATTTACTTATTTTTCATTTGACCAGAGAGGGACAGAGTGAGAGAGAGAAAGAGGGAAAGTGAGAAAGCAAGCTGCCAGGCCCAGGACTTGAACTGTGGTTGGCCATGTGGGAGTCCAGCTCCCTTAACCACCATGTCACCTGCTGCCCCCCAGCCAGATATTTTTAAAAACTTAATTTTTTTCTAGTTTTGGGTTTTTTGATTACTTAATTAATTAATTAATTAATTTTTGAGAGTTTTTTTGCTATAGGGCTCATACACTCACCATAAAGACAAAGACAGAGAGACAGAAAGCGAGAAATCATCCCCCAGGGGTGATGGCCATGCCACAATCCCTTCTCCTCCATTCTCCTTTCAGGATTTTTGGGCTCACAGGATCTTGGGCACACATGCACATGCTCCTGGCATGAGTTTTAAGCCACCGGGTCCAGGACTTGAACCGCTGTCAACTACCTGGGAGTCCAGCAACATAGCCATTATGTCAACTGCTGGTCACTCTAGTTTTATCATTTGAAAAAAAAAAAAATTGAGAGAAAAAAATTTAAAATTTGCATAATCTGACTACTTAACGATATTAATATTTTTATGCCTCTTCCATGTGTATGCATGTTATATGTGTGTTTTTAAAAGCAAAATTGCTAATTTTTAAAAGTTAAATATTTTCTGCACACATTTGAAAATTGGGGAAGGGGCCCTATGTTGGGGTTTGCAAGGGTTCTCTGAATGTGATCTAAGAGGCAGCGCAGTGTGAAATGAGAGGACTGGGGGCCTCCTCTGGAGGAAGAGCAGCAGCTATGGCCCTGACTCTAGCGCCAGAGCAGGCTGATGGGAGGTGAGAGTGCACTGTTCATGGCAGGGAGAGATGGAATTGTACCAGATTATAACGAGCGCAGAGGAAGTCATTTACACTCTCTAGGGAGACGGACCTGAGACAATTAGAATTTTTCCACCTCTAGCTAGTGACTCTTGTATTACGGAGGCATACATGGAAGAGAAAAGCCCTTGATCTTTCTGATAATAATTAAGCATTGCTCTATCACGGGGTAGCTCCTGGCCCCTCGCAGTTATTAATCTGAGTTTTCAGGGGATGGAGGAGATTGGCACCAAGAAAGTTGAAGCGTTTTCTCAGAAATCTCTTAAGAGAGGAAGAAGATGGATCAGCAGTTAGTGTAATGGCTATGTCGCTGAACTCCCATGTAGTCAACTGCGGTTCGAGTCCCGACCCGGTGGCTTAAACTCACATTGGGCTTGTGTGCGTGCGTGCCCAAGATCCCGAGAGGAGAATGGAGGAGAGGGGATTGCGGCGTGGCCATCCCCCATGGGAGGTGATTTCTCGCTTTCTGTCTTTCTGTCTCTCTCTCTGTCTCTCTGGCAAACACACACACCCTGTAGCAAAATCCTCTCCAAAAAAAAGAGAGGAAGAACATGCTGTCTTAAAACTGAGTGTATTAGGTTGTCAGAGAAATCATGATTTTTTTTTTTAATGCAAAAATGCGTCATGACTTTTCCAACAAGCCAGTATTTTGGGGGCCAGCAGATGGCATTGTGGTTAAGGTGCTGGATCCTGCCTGGCTGGCGGCATGGTTTGAGGCCTGGACCTGGTAGCTTGTGAAACGTGCTAAGTGTGTATGCCTGTGTGCCCCAGGTCCTGAGAGGAGAATGGAGGAGAAGGTAATGTGGGATGGTTGTACCCTCCGGGGGCCAAGTTCTCACTTCCTCCCTCTCTCTCCTCTCTGAACGCACATTCCCGACAGGGAAAAAAGGGAAACAATGGAATATATTCAGTGCCCACCAAGCCTTAAATACCTTGGCATTCCTACCTTTCCTCAAGGTGCCTAGAGGCACGGGGTGGGCGAGCTCCTTTGCTGCCACTGTCTTTACATTCTCACCCTGTTCTATGCCACGTGTCCTTCACTCTGGTACAAACGGGGCTTAAATGGAAGTGAATGGGCGAGGCCTGCTAGCTTCGCCTGCAGGACACTGTCTGGGCACCTCTGTGTTCTGGGAGCTGCCCCTCCGGCTGGTCCTCAGTCTGCGTGCCTCTGTCTCACCTTCCACCTGCAGGGTTCTGGCTGGTGTGGACCATCATCATCATCCTGAGCTGCTGCTGCGTCTGCCACCACCGCCGAGCCAAGCACCGTCTTCAAGCCCAGCAGCGGCAGCATGAAATCAACCTGATCGCCTACCGGGAAGCCCACAATTACTCAGCGCTGCCATTCTATTTCAGTACGTAACCGAAAGCCAGCATACCCTACCCTCAGGCTCAAGGCCCAGAGTCCCTGTGGGCATGGGGGAGGTCCCCTTTGACCGCACCCAGAACAGGGTCTCAAAGGACAAGAACAAGAAGGTATTCCTTCAGCACAGAGAGGCAGGAAGGTCCCTGAGGCCACTGGAGCTTTCAGAAGCTCACCAGACCCAGTAGCTGGGTCCCGGCCAGCTTCTATCCCTCTAGCAGATTAATATTATTTTTTTTTTAATTTTATTTTATTTTTTAGAGATTTTTATTTTTTTTTGGAGAGGTTTTTGCCTTAGGGCGCATGCGCTCGCCAGACAGACAGAGAGAGACAGAGAGATAGAAAGTGAGAAATCACCCCCCAGGGGGGATGGCCACGCTGCAATCCCTTCTCCTCCATACTCCTCTTGGGATCCTGGGCACGCACGCACATGCGCCTGGCGTTTAAGCCACCGGGTCCGGCATGTGAACCGCGGTCGACTACGTGGGAGTCCAGCGACATAGCCATTACGCTAACTGCTGGTTCCTTATTATTTATTTTTTTTTAAGGCACAGTTAGCTGGTAGATAATGTGACTGAATCGAGATGTGGAGTCCGGTGGCCTGACTTTCTCCCGTTGTGCTTACTGCCATGTGATGTGCCTGAGCATGGGGCGCTGTGAAAGGGCAGGTGTAGGGTGGCATTGGGACTTCATGGGAACCAAGACACTCGGTGACTCCCTGAGAGCATTCCCCAGGCTTTCCTGAGGTTCCTGGCCCATGACCTCTCAAATGGTCTGTGACAGCCCAGCTATGCGGCTGACCCCGTGTCATTCTGCAGTGTCATAGTCGTTTGAACTCCACAGCTAGAAGGCTTGAGTGCTCAGCACAGTGCCTGGCGTGTAGCGCGTGCTCAATAGACGCTGGGTGTTGTTGTTATGTCAGAACTAGGTCACCTGCCTCAAGTCAGCATATAACTCACCTGATGTATTTTTTACAGAATTATTTCAAACTTTATTTATTTTAATTTGACCAGAGAAGGACAGAGTGAGAGAGAGAGAGAGAGAGAGAGAAAGAGACTGCGAGTGAGAAAGCAAGCTGCGGGACCAGCAGTTAGTGTAATGCTATGTGGCTGAACTCTCATGTAGTTGACCACGGTTTGAGTCCCGGATCCAGTAGCTTAAACTCACGCCGGGCGCGTGTGCGTGCGGGCCCAAGATCCCGAGAGGAGAAGGGAGGAGAAGGGATTGCGGCATGGCTATCCCCCCTGGGGGGTGATGTCTCGCTTTCCATCTCTCTGTCTGTCTCTCTTTCTTTCTGGCGAGCACACACGCCCTATAACAAAAACCTCTCCAAAAAAAAAAAATGCAAGCTGCCAAATCCTAGACTCAAAACCATGGTCGGCCATGAGGGAGTCTAGCACCCTTAGCCACCACGCTACCTGCCATCTCCACCTGATGTATTTTTAATAAGCCTTGAGTGACAGAGGCCCTCTCCTTTGCTGCTAACCCATCCGCTTTTGATCCGAGTCAAGGGAAAGCTCGATTTTTCTTTTCACTTCACCTCCAGCTGCTCTGGAGTGAGAGAGACAACAGATTCCTCACCTCCCAGAAAAAGAACCCCTTCAGTACACCTGGAAGAGTGGGGGGAAGGAAAAGTGGTCAAGAAGTCTGAAGTGAGGGTCCCTGATCCTGAGGCCTATGGAACGTGGTTGGAGGCCACAGCCTGAGTGAGAACACGAGACCGTGTGCGCAAGGGAACAGAAAGTGGCTCATGGCCGTCCACCACGTTTGCCCGTCCGTCTGCCATACTCCAGGCAGGCAGGAAGTCTGTGCCTATGAAGCAGCGTTAGGTGACTGGGGTCTCGGGAAGCTAGGTTGGGTCATTCCCGGCTGTCCCGCTTTCCCGCAGGCTTGCCCGCAGCCCTCGCTCGTGTCACCTGGGTATGCCTGGGTGGGAAGAGACGGTGCTGGTGTTTGGTGTGCTGTGTGGCCTGTCCTAGAACCCGCGCCAGTGTAATTTCTTCTCCCTCCCTCCCTGTTTTAGGGTTTTTGCCAAACTATTTACTACCTCCTTATGAGGAAGTGGTGAACCGACCTCCAACTCCTCCCCCACCATACAGTGCCTTCCAGCTCCAGCAGCAGCCGCTGCCTCCACAGTGTGGCCCTGCAGGTGGCAGCCCCCCAGGTGCCGATCCCAGGGCCTCCCAAGGGGCACAGAGTAGCCCCTTGTCTGGGCCCAGCAGAAGCAGCACAAGACCCCCGAGCATCGCCGACCCTGAGCCCTCCGACGTGCCAGCCAACCGAGCAGCCTCCAAAGCCCCTGGAATGGAGCCCACTGGCTCTGTGGCCGGCCTAGGGGAGCTGGACCCCGAGGCCTTCCTGGACAAGGATTCAGAGTGTAAGGAGGAGCTGCTGAAAGATTATAGCTCTGAGCATGGCAGCGCACCCCCCAACAGCAAAGACAAGACTCCTGGCAGACACCGCCGCTTCACAGGTGACTCGGGCATTGAGGTGTGCGTGTGCAACCGGGGCCACCATGACGACGACCTTAAAGAGTTCAGCACACTCATCGATGATGCCCTGGATGGGCCCCTGGACTTCTGTGACAGCTGCCACGTGCGGCCTCCCGGTGACGAGGAGGAGGGGCTCTGCCAGCCCTCCGAGGAGCAGGCCCGAGAGCCGGGGCCCCCCCACCTGCCACGGCCGCCCGCGTGCCTGCTGCTGAATACCATCAACGAGCAGGACTCTCCAAACTCCCAGAGCAGCGGCTCCCCCAGCTAGAGCTGGCCTTTCCTGCCCCCGAGAACGCGGCGCCGCCACCAGGGTAGGGGAGAACCACGAGAGAAGCATTAAGTGACTTTCAGAGAGAGTGGTGCAGCCACTTTTGTTTTTTTCTTGTTTTTCCCTCCCTCCTCTCCTGTTTTTTCCTACATCTCCAAGTACAGTCTCGGGTGTGCCTGCCTCTCCCCGATAAAAGCACAGTGTTGTAGGAGGCTGAGGAGTTGCTTCCGTGACTCATTCCTCACACCCCACCCCAGCCCTTCGGCTCCCCCTTCCAGGTCATTTCTCACCTACCTGCTTAGGTCAGACAGGTGTGTTTCAAAAGCCCCCAAGGAAGGAGGCTAGGATTATGCCCTGAGATGATTCTTGGTGGTGGAGTGGCTTTACGTTCTGATTTTAGTTTAAGAGAACTTCACTGTGTCTCAGTCGAGGGGAGGTGGCCTGTCTTGGCCCTCGGTAAAGAAGGAAGCCCACAGAGGCCCAGGCACGTCACCTGTGTCTGCCAGTGTCTGGGTGCCTGCAGAGCCAGAATTGGGCTGATCCCATGGGAGTGCGAGGGCCGACAGACAGGGGTGAGGCAGGTCGATAGGGAGCTTGTTATCTCTCAGCCTTCAGGTGAGAGATGGGTGCACGCCCATGCATCATCCGGGCTCTCCTCAGCAGGCTCTGGCTAGCTGCAGGCTGGCTCAGGTCTGGAAGAGTATGCTGCCTTCTCTTTGTTTTTTCTTTCCAAAACAGACAACAAAAGCCAGCTGAAAACAAAACACCTTACCAGTGGGAAAGGAAGTCTGTGGCCTTTCCCAAGTTGGCCTTCAAAGAGCCTGGCTGCGCTTGAGCCAGAAGGAGGCATTTAGTGTAAGGCTGGGGTGGGGCTGTCTTAGGAACTCTGAGCAGGGAGCCCCAGGCCGTGCCGTGGCTGTGGCCGTGGCTAGAGGAGCAGCTTTCTGCATCTCTGTCCTTTGGTCTGTGCCCACAGGTGTCTGGTGTCCTCCTCCCTAAGCCTGTGGGCCCTAGGCCTTCAGGCCTCACTGTCATGTATGAACAAAGGGACTGAGGACGCTGTGGTCCTCCGAAAGGGCAACCCCATAGCCCGGCTCTCATGCAGTATTTTCTCTTTGATTCTGAATAAGTTGCGCCTGTTTGTTGTAAACTGACCACTTGGAAGAAATAGCTTGGTTGTCTGTGGCGGTTAGGCCCTGGGCCCACCCCTTTGACTGGGGTGATGTATTTCTCTGTATGCGAAGAGTCTCAGTGGCCCGGGTAGGGGGTGAAGGCCGCCGTCCAGAGGCCCGCAAGATCCTTACTGCAGGATCCTTTGCCTTCAGATAACCAGTTGAGCTTTGGTAGGAACAATCTGAAAAGAGAAAGCAAACAGCCGGAAACTAACATTCCCCGTCCAGCCTGTTCAGATGAAGAGTCTGGTTCTTTCCCCACTCTCGCATGGTGATATTCGGACTAGGCATTGACCTTATGGTAAGCAAGGAAAAAGAAATTTTATATATATATAAAATTTATATTTATATATATATATAAAATGCCCCAAAACAGACAAACCCAAGGCTGTGAGTGAACAAGTGACTGCATTTGGAGTCCACAAAACCAAAATCCGTGTCGAACAAAGTGAAGTCCCTACGCAGTGACTTCTCAGATGACCTGTGTGTGCGTGTGTCTGTCCGTCGTGTGTGCGCCCCAAGCCCTGTTTTCCTGTGAAGATACTTTGAACGGCAGCCATTCTGCTCACATTAACCACATATGGAGCACGTATGGCCCTCTCAAGGTGATTTATTTTACACATTTACTGTTTACTGAACAAATGTCTGACTGCGTACTCGGGTGTATCAGCAGCGTCGTCGACGGCAGTCCCCGTGTTTGCCAGAGACACTGTGCTCTCGGTAGAGGTTTTACTCTACCCCTCACTGCAATTTGCACATTGCTCCGTGGACACTCAGAGACCTGTGTTCTGTTCCCTGTACATGGAAACTTGCTCTGAACCTGCTGCCTCCCTCGGCCACTCTTGGCCCTCGGCATCAGCCCTCCGGGGGTGTCTGCAACCCCTTGGGAACAGAAGACGAAGGTGGGGTTTCAGACACAAGCCTGACTGGATCTTCAGTGACAGGCTCGGACTAACTGTGGCCCAGACGTCGGCCCCACCAGGGTTGCCAGGAGGCTTGGGCGGACGCCACGGTGTCGCAGGGTTTACCTCCTCCTGCTTGTTCCAGCCCCGCGGGCAGGCTGGTGTGCAGCCGGAGGGGGCCGGCGCGTCAGCACCCTCAGATGCCTTTCCTCCCTCCTTTTTTTTTTTTTTTTTTTTTTAATTAAAACCCAAACAACTCACTGAAGTGTCTCAAAGGAGAACAAGTTTTTACCAAAACGAACCCTTCTTCAGTTAGCTGATCAAATGGGTGAATTGCGGCCCTCTGGAGTGTCCCCAGTTAGAGTGGGGAACCAGCGTGAGTGTTCCCTGCTCGCGTCACTGCAGCGTCCCACCCTGAAGGCATGAGAAGCAGCAGCAGCTGGCTTGATTTCCCCAGTCCCAGTCTGGCCCCTGCTTCAGGAGGCTCTCCTGCTCAGAGAGAAAACTGGAAATGGGGAATTGAAGGAGCTAGGGGCCAGGGAGAGTTGATGGCGTCCGGTTTTCCAGGGGAATGAGAAGGAAGGGATCGGTCAAGGGTTCGGTGCTACAGTCGGAAGAGTTGCAGATGCTAACACATTCCTGTGTGAGGCTCACTACATTTGTCAGTTATTGTGAGTATGTGTATCTTAAGCAATAAGATTCAGCTGGTCAGACTTTTCTGGGCAGTCTCGGTGACGCATTTCCTGTGCTGTGATTGTTCTAAAGACAGAGTGGCTCTAACCACTGTGAGAAGCCCAAATAAAAATCGATCCCAATCATTCTCCTGTGCTTTTTTTCTTACAGCATTTTGCTCCTTATTTCTCTTTCTGACTTCAGGGGGTTGTACCTCCAGATTCACAGACCGCAAGCGCTTTTCCCTTCTCCACACAGAGACTGAGGGCTGTCACGTAGCAGCTGGGGCACGGTCCCAGGCCAAACAGAATCCACAGGGCCAGGCGCAGGCAGGCTGCTGCTCAGGCCATACTGTCTGAGGAACTGGCCTCCAGACGCTCCCACTGTCAAGAGTATTTTTCTTGTGTCTGGAATACTTCGTACAGTCCTACAGACAGGTTAAAATCAGACCCAAAAAACAGACATGAGCCTTGTCAGGTACACCATAGCTAAAATCTGACATCTAAAAGGAAGCAAGGAGGGGCCAACAGGTGGCGGGCTGTTGAGGCATTGGACTCCCATGTGGCTGACTGCGGTTCCAGTCCCGGACCTGGCGGCTTGCTTTCTCACTTTCTCTCTAGTGAGCACATGTGTCCTATAGCACATCCAGAAAATAATAATAATACATTTTAGGATAATTTTTTAAATTTTAAAAAAGGAAGCAAATGGGGACTAGCAGGTGGCATGATGGTTAAGACGCTGGACACTCCCACATGGCCAACCATGGTTCGAGTCCTGGACGAGGTGGTGGCTTGCTTGTCCACTTTCCCTCTCTCTCTTTGTCTCTCTCTGGTCAAATTAAATAAATTAATAAAATTAAATAAACAATTCTTTTTTTTTTTTTTTAAAGGAAGCAAGCAAGCATTCTGAGAGTTCTGCCTTGACACTGTGATAGAAGTGTGGGCGGGACATAATCCCCACGGCGCGGGCAGAGTTGCCCTCTGCCTGGCGCTGTGCTGGATGTTAAAGACGATGCAGAGGAAATACGTAAGACAAGGTCCCTGCCCTCTAGAACTTATAGTTAGGGGCCAGCAGGTGGCATGGACCACCAGACCCGATGGCTTGAAAAACACTCTAGGCACGTGTGCATGTGTGTCCAGAATCCTGAGAGGAAAACAGAGGAGAAGGGATTGTGGTGTGGCCGTCCACCCCAGGGGGTGAGTTCTCACTTTCCCTTTCTCTGTCTTCCTCTCTGGTGAGCGCATACTGCCTATAGCAAAACTCTCAACATGTATGTATAGAGAGACAGATGGGCAGGCAGAATGCGTGTGCTAGGAAGATGAAACATACCCGGACAAAATAGTTCATGAACAGTATACGGGAACTGAAGTGCGAAGTACAGATTTGGACTCTCAGGAGTGATTTGAGGCCTTAGTGCCTGGCAGGAAGTCTCCGATTTTCAGGCAGTGGGGAAGCCCCGAGGGTGCCAGCTAACATCAGTCTTTGCAGTCCGGTACATCTCTCCTAGTACAATGAGAGTCCCTTTGTTCATTTTATGTTCTGCTTAAGCCTGTCCTCTTAGAACCCTGAGTCAGGTGTAAGCCCCTGCTGGAGGACCGTGCAAAGGCATACCCTAGTCTGCCCAGGAGGGAGGCCCCCTACCCAGCATCTCTTCTCTCAGTGGCCAAGGTGAGATGGTGCGCATTCTTCCTAGAAGGCATCCTCCTCCCCTGCTGACTAACGGGCTGGGGCTGGGGTTACTGCAGGGTTATCCTCCCAGTCCCCGGGCTTGCCCAGCTGTCAGCCCTGTTGTCACCGAGGGTCCAGCATTAGTTAGACATGCCTCTACTCCTTACCTTTGACCTCGGGGCAGAGGACACCACCCTGGCCCCTCAGTGACTCGGCATGGTTGCTGCCTCGTTCCTTCTGAACTCCTCTGGGCAGCCCCGGTGGAGCCAGTGTTAGCATTTAGGAAAGCCACAGGAAGGACCTGGAGGAGTATGTCGTTGCCACCCTTTTTTTTTTTTGGAGAAGTTTTGCTGTAGGGCGCATGCACTCCCCAGAGAGACAGAGAGAGACGGAGAGATAGCAAGAAGTCACCCCCCAGAGAGGACGGCCACGCCACAATCCCTTCTCCATTCTCCTCTCAGGATCTTGGGCGCGCGCACACACGTGCCCAGCATGAGTTTAAGCCACCGGGTCCAGGACTCAACTGCAGTCGACTACATGGGAGTCTAGCTATTACACCATCTGCTGGTCCCATTGCTGCCCTTTTTTTTGTGGTTATGTGAGATTTTTGCTGTAGGGTACGTGCACTCACCAGAGAGACAGCCAGAAATCACCTTCTGGGGGGATGGTTATGTCACAATCCCTTCTCCTCTGTTCTCTCAGGATTTGGGGCACACACACACATTCCCCCAGCATGATTTTCACGCCACTGGGTCAGGGACTGAAACCGTGGCCGGCCATGTGGGAGTCCAGTGCCTTAACCACTGCGCTACCTTGGGCCCCCACTGCGGCCTTCCGAGAGCTTCCGGCTGGTTGCCAGAGGCTGTGTGCCGCTGGTACCCAGGTCTGCAGGCCCCATTCCTGTGCTCCAGGCTCCAGGGCCAGAGTTCCATATTTCTCTGGGGATATGCCATGGGTCGTTTCTGTTGCCTGAAGTGACCAAGTTCTGGTGGAGACCTTATCAGTGCCCTGAAGCACAAAACGAAGTAGTGAGAATTTCAGGACTGTTAGGGAAGGGGGAAGGCAAAAACAGCATTTAATTCGGAAGATGGAAAGGGAAGTCAGTCTGACCTACAGCTGGCCAGCTTTGTGCTGAACCTGCTGAGAAGGGCTGTGGGTCTTGGGAGGGGTTCGGGGTTCGAGTTCCAGTCTGGGGGCAAGTGACTGACCTTAATTAAGAACGGAGCCTTTACGGGGCACCTGCCGTGTACAAGGCATTGGGGATACAGAGATGCCTCAGATGAGGTTCCTCCTCAGGAGAGATCGTAATAGTCTAGGGAGGACGAAAGGCCCCAAAGCAGTTTCAGTACCACGTGGTAAGTGCCACAAAGCTTGTGTGCACAGGGTGCTATAGATGAGAATTCAGCCCAACCGAGAGCTCAGGGTGGGCTTCTTGGAGGAGGTTACTCTCCACTGACCTTGCCAGGTGAAAAAGCATGTGAAGGGGATTTGAGACAAACACTGCCTGCAGAGTATTGAGGGCCTACTATGTGCCAGGTGCTGAGAAGTACAAAAAAAGCATGCATGGCTTAAAGTGGGAGATTCCGAACAGTTTAATCCGTCCAGATAATTGTATTGTGGGAGGTGGCAAGAGAGAGTGCTGGAGAGGCGAGCAGGTAATAAAAAGATTTTGAACTTAAATTTGCATTTGCCGTCTTATCGATCGACTGTTTACACAGTGGCTGGGACTTGTCTAAACATCTCGGCTACATCTCGTTTGGTCTTAGCTACATGTGCAAGGTGTAGACTGCAGTCGTCCTGCGTTATTAGTGGGGGCGATCACACGGCTCTTAAGAGGCAGAGCCAGGATCCGAATGAAGCCAGATCTGCTGACCCCAAAGCCCATGCAGTGGAACTCATAGGCCGCACCATGGAGCGTGCAGTCACAGGGTGCTCGCAAGCCACAGGAAGAACTGGGGGCGTGGCTCTAGGGGAGAGGGAACCGACGACAGGGAGTAACTGGGGAAGACGTGGCAGAAACCATGTCCCCTGGAGCTACTGTCTCACCTCTTCCCCTCCCCACTTGTGTGCATCCGAGCCCCTCCCCCCAGGGCCCCACACCCATCCGGGTTTCCAGCCATAAGAACCCCTGGGTGCTGAAGTGGCGTCACACCTAATGTAGATGGTCCATATCAGCTTGCACGGGGAGGGTATAACCTTGGAAATGCAAGATTCTCAGGAGTTAAAGCTCTCTGAAGGACCAGCAGGTGGCGTAATGGTTACATCGCTGCTCTCCCGCGGAGTTGCGTTTCAAGTCTCAGACCCAGCAGCTTAAAACTCATACCAGGCACGTGTGTGTGCATGCCCAAAACCCTGGGTGGGGAGAGAAGGGATTGCAGCGTGACCATCCCCTCAGAGGGTGATTTCTCACTTTCTGTCTGTCTCTGTTTCTCTGGGAAGTTCATGGGCCCTATAGCAAAACTCTCTCAAAAAAAAAAAAAAAAAAAAAAAAAACCTCTTTGGGTAATTTTGTCTCTTCCTCGAAAAGTGTTTTGTTCTTCCTTCGAGAAGATAAAAATAGAGCATTTGGTAGTGGTGAGAAGCAGAAGAGGACTTTTGTTTGATCTGAAATGTCTCCTCATAAGGCTCACTATAGTGAATATTCCTTCCATTTCATATTTCCTCACCAAGAAGTCTCAAGAAATCCAATCTCACTGGGAAAATGTTACAAAACACCCTCGGCGTTGGAGCCATGAGAAGAGTTTGTCTGTGGACTCTCCACCCACTTCCCAGCTGTCAGCTGCCCTGGCTCCGGAGGGGGAGAGGGCACTGGCAGCTGAGATGGGCGTGGGGTGCAGAGGAGGGTGGGTTTGTGGAGGGCCCTCCTGTGGATGGACCCGTCTGCACACTCCTGCTCCCCCTCCTGACCAGCTGGGGACTTACGGGAACATTGCTCAAGCCCTCAGAGAGACTTCCTCCACGGGCTTGGATATAGACGACAATGATAAAGTCTGTACTTAGGAAGTCACTAAGGTTTCATGTACTGTTTGTCCTCACAGCAACACTCCGAGGTTAGGACTCTTCTTCTTTTCCTTTTTTTGTAGTTTGCCAGAGGACAGGTGCACATGTGCATGTGAGAGAGAGACAGACGGTCACGCCACAATCCCTTCTTTTAGGATTTTTGGGCACACATGTATGCATGGTGTGTTTTTTATTTATTTTTTTTTTAAGAGAAATTTTTGCTATAGGGCATGTGCGCTCCACAAAAAGACAGAGACTAACAGAAAGCGAGAAATTACCCTCTGGGGGGATGGCCACACTGCAATCCCTTCTCCATTCTCCTCTTGGGATCTTGGGTACGCACGCACACATGCCCAGTGTGAGTTTAAGCTGCCAAGTCCCAGAGTCCAACCGCAATTGCCTACGTGGGAGTCCAACAACTTAACCATTACACCATCTGCTGGTCCCTATTTATTTTTTAGAATTATTTTTGTTTTTG